AGACAAACAAACACAAGCACACATACACAAGACCTTTCGGTCACAACTCCCGCCCTTCCCATCTGGGAGGCTACCCCTTCGGGGTTGCTATCCCATCAGAAAGGCAAAAAATACATCACATCATGATCATCTTACAAGTTGATGGGGCACTTCCCACCCGTTATATGGGAAGGAGGAACAGGAAAACCGTGGCCCTGGTTATCTCGAGATCTCTACCCTTACTCCGGCTACTAGGTACCGTCTTCCCTCCAAAACGCAACACTCTGATCACTTCGTTCATGTATACAAGCTATCTTTCCAGTCCCATACCGCCATAACAAGGTATGTTGGACGAAATGACAAAGATGAGATTCTTGCGGAGATAAAGCACAAGTCGGAACACACATCATTATTTTTTATTTTTTATTTTTATTTATTTTTATTTATTTTTATTTATTTTTATTTATTTTTATTTATTTTTATTTATTTTTTTAATCTTCGCCAAGGCAGCAACTTAGAGGAGCGCAGTCCTCGGCATTATATATCCGTGTTGCCCCACTAGGTTTTGAACCTGGAACCTCTGTGATATCTTTCAGACATCCATATCCAAAGGCGGGGAGCAGAGAGCACCTCTCTGCTCCTTGGCCCTGGAAGAGAAGGCACAGAAGAGTAGAGAAGAGAGTAGGAGAAGAGGACAACGAGAAGACGAACGAAGACAACATGAGGAGACCGGCGGGGGGGGGATGGAGCGGGGGGGAAGGGGAGGAAATAGAAAAGGGGAAGAGAAGAGACGCAATGTGAGTGAGAGTAATCAAAAGCGTCCCAGGCAGCAACCAGCAAATGCTGACCTTTTGACGCGTTGGTCGAAAAACGCAACCTGCATGAAGTTCGCCTTGGAGTCGCCATAATATAAAATAAAGAGGGCCAAGCTCAGCCACATTAAATTTTCAATTTTTTGTCGAAGAGAATTGCGTGGCTCCAGCCCCAGCTTTTCCGCTACACGCCGCGAATCGGACCTCCGCTGGCCTCTCTCCGCCATATCCTGCTGGAGTGCGTGCAACAAGTGGGACGCCATTTTCTTCCACAACGACTCTGATAAGACCCTTTTCACTCCAGAACACCAGCGCAAGCAAACACGTACGAGTTTCCCGCCAACTCAATCGCTGCTACCAGTGCTATACGAGTTTCCCGCCAACTCAATGGCTGCTACCAGTGCTATACGAGTTTCCCGCCACCAGTGCTATACGAGTTTCCCGCCAACTCAATCGCTGCTGCTACCAGTGCTGTACGAGTTTCCCGTCAACTTAATCGCTGCTACCAGTGCTATATGCGACTAGATGACCCGTTGCCCCTTCGCGCGCGAAAACAGAAAAGGAAAAAAGCACAAAAGAAAGAAAAAGCATAAGGAACTTGCCCTATCACATGCCGCTTCTTTTCCTTGACAATAAGAGAACAAGAAAGAGCCTGAGAGCAGACGAAAACCCGCGTGCAAGAAAATAGGAGGGAATACCACCGAGCCTTCTCTTTTTTCCCCTTTCTCTTTGAGTGTCTTGTTTGGGGAGCCGTTTACCTTTGCAGCATCGTCGTTTTTGTTTTGTGCTGTGCAAGAACTCTGGACTTTTCTAAGAAACTCCTGTCCATTGTCAGATTCAGACTTTGTTTGCCGAGTTCTCTGGATATGTTTGTCATCAACCAATCTTGCATGTACGTATGCCCCGTGCAAGTGCAAGCGATCTTGCATGTATGCCCCGTGCAAGTGCAAGCGATCTTGCATGTATGCCCCGTGCAAGTGCAAGCGATCTTGCATGTATGCCCCGTGC